CACAAACAGCCTTATCTACTTAGCCCTTGCTTTCCTTTTCTCTGGGTCTGGTAGAATTGGGGGGAAGGCTGGGCTTTGCTAAAGGGAAAGTGAGGTGGAAGGGTTTTTGAAGCCTATGTATATGACCCCCTCCTGGCAAAGAATTTCCTAAAATGCATCCATGCAGAGAAACCACACCAGGGCAAGGTCTGAGCGGGATAAAAAAAGCCTTTATTTCTTATGAACGCCCTAAAATAGTATCGAAAAACCCAGCCCCTCCCCCCGTCCGGATGCCTGGGTCCCTGCCCCACCCAAACCCTGCCCCATCCTGGTGTTGGGGCGCTGCCCCATGGTCCACCTCCCCCCTCCCAGCGAAACCCCACCCGCTCCAAGAAAGTCCACCCCACCCACCTACCCCGCTCCCTAAAACAGTATTTCTAAAGTTATTACTAAATTGCCCCCAAATAGGAAAAGGGACAAAGAGACACAAGGAGAGAGAGAGAGAGAGAGAGAGAAAACTTGTGGTTGTATTTCCGTGTTCACAAGCGTATTTGAGGTTTGGGGCGTGCGCCTCTTGTGTGTGCCTATTTCATTGTGTTATTCCATGTATGCAATATAGTTCCTATAGTTTTCATGTATATCTCTGTGTCTGTCTGTGTGTTTTATGAACTATTAAGCAGGTTGCCTACACCAAAGTGAATGTCTCAGTGAACCTGTTAACCCTGTATGGTGCCACAACACCTGCTTACAGACTCATGGCCATCTCACACATGACATTACTTCTCAGCCCTTCGGCCATTCACAAGTGACAGGGTACACATTGAGTTGGACGTGGCCCCAGCAAGGCTACTGTTTGGGGAGTTGTCCATTGATGTGGTTTGTTCACAGATACGATTGTGGTTCCGAGATTCTGTGTGTGAATGTGTGTGTCTAATAGCAATCCTGTCTTTTTATGTCTGTGATGGAGGCTGTGTGCTTGTGGCATTTTGTGTTGAATTGTAGTAACATTTTGCTGCACATGCTCCATTAAGGTGCACGTCGCTTGTGAGACGGCGGGTTCTTTCTATGGAGATTCACTTCTTTACCTGCTGGCATGATTGTTAGTGTGTGTGTGCTTGTATGCTTTTGTGCTTGACTGTGGTTGCGAGCGGGAGGGGGAGTATTTCCTTGCGGTTCACTGTTGGCAGTGTGTGCACCGGTTTGGAGTTGTCCATTGATGTGGTTTGTTCACAGGTACGATTGTGGCTCCGAGATTCTGTGTGTGAATCTGTGTGTCTAATAGCAATCCTGTCTGTGATGGAGGCTGTGTACTTGTGGCATTTTGTGTTGAATTGTAGTAACATTTTGCTGCACGTGCTCCATTAAGGTGCACGTCGCTTGTGAGATGGTGGGTTCTTTCTGTGGAGATTCACTTCTTTACCTGCTGGCATGATTGTTAGTGTGTGTGTGCTTGTATGCTTTTGTGCTTGACTGTGGTTGCGAGCGGGAGGGGGAGTATTTCCTTGCGGTTCACTGTTGGCAGTGTGTGCACCGGTTTGGGAGCGACAGTGTGTGTTTCTGGAGGAGTGCACTCTGGCACCTGAGGGGGTGCCGTTCTTCCTGCCAGTGTATTGGAGAACTTTTAGAGTTGGGAGGGACTTCGCAGACCCTCAGACCCAACCCCAGCCCTGAGACAGGACATCCCAGACAGCTAAAGCAACTGTAGCAGATGGAAGGAGGCCCTGCAGCACCCTCAGGTAGTTTGTTCCGTTGCCAAACAGACAGGAGTGTGCCCACTCCGGCTGGCTGCCCCAGAAACAGCTGGTTGAAAATGGTCAACATGTCTTTTTCCTGCCTCCCCACCCCCCTCCCTCCCTCTGATTTTCCTCTAGGCAAAACAGACCTAGTTCCTTCAGCGTTTCCACGTACGACTTGCCTTCCAGACCTTTGATCATCTTCGCAGCTCTCCTCCAATTTTTCTTTCCGTTTGTCAACATCTGACTGGAACCGAGCTGCTCAAACCTGAACACAGCACTTCAAACAAGCGTGAGGAAGAAAGGAGAGCGAGCGAGAGCACGCAGCTTTACTGGGTCAGACCCTGGGCCTGTTGTGCCCCATGTAAGGGCCAGGCTTCTGTGTCCTCTTTGCCCAAGTTAGCCCATCTTTATGCACCAAGAAAAGCATAACTATTAAGTGTGGTTATGCTGATGAAAGAAGTCAGCAGCTTTTTTGGCTTATATTGCATTATTGGTTCTGCCAGTCAAAGGCAAGAACAAAAAGCTACACGGGGACATTAAAGCTCCGGGGGCCCCCAGCACCTGGAAATCTGACGGAGAGACTCACATTCACTTGAGAGAGTTCCCCGGATGTTGACAACACGTTTTAAATCCTGTCTTGCAGCCACAAAACCCGGAGATATGAATGCTCAGATTCTCGGGATGCAAAAATCAACGCTGATGCCTAACTTTTGCACTTGGGTGGAATTGCGCAGCGCACACAGCCCTGGGCACATCTCTGTGAGTGATGAGTGGCAAAAGGTTCTAGACTGGGGCAGGCCTACTAAGGCTCTTTAAAAAACATGGCCTCTTTGGTTTCCATACCGCTCCCATTTTCTAGGCTGCTGGAAGGGGCAAACCCGACAATGACGGTTTGTTTAGGAAATATCTATGCTGCAGCTCCAGAGAATCTGCTCTGCTGAGTGTGAGCACGTGAATCATGCTAAACTCCTGTAAAGCGGGGTGGGGGGTTGGCAGGGAGGCTGATTTAGAAGTACAGCCTGGCAGTTAGGAAGAGGAAGCTGAACACACCCCCCCCCCAATAGTGTTTCTCTGCAGCGCCATTTTGCTTTCAGTAGGGATTATGTCTTGGAGGCCACCGGGAGAAAAATCCCCTCCCTCTTTTTACTTTATGGGGATTTGGTGTAACGCAGGGGTTTGCCACCATTACATCTCGTTCGCTCCCAAGACTTAACCCATCTTACCTGTCCGGGGGCTTAATGGTACACGCTCTTGCTTTAGGAAAAATGCCAGCATCACAGGTGCAAATAGACTACTCTTGGGTTCACCTCTTGGGTTCTGGCTCTGAGCATCCCCCTGTCTTATGCTACCTATACTTGCCATTTGTATATTGCTACTTTTCATAGGGTGATCTAATTCTTCTTTAAAGAACAACAACAAAAAAAGATCACGGGGCGACAGGCACACCCTGTGACGGTGAATTGCACAGATCAGTCACGAGCTGGGTAAAAAAGCTACAGTTAACTTGAGACCTGTTACTCGCTTAGTCTGAACAAGAACTTCTTGGCTCTTCGTATTAAGAGAGAGTCTCCCCCACGGGAGCCTACCACATTCCAAGTGTGAGCACTGCTGGTACACACTGTAAGACTTGAGGGTTTGGGCTGGTTTTGAGAACAGGTTTCCACTCCCCTGGGGTCTCCTGTAAAGGATGGACTTGCACATTTCCTCCATGAGAAGTTGCACAAGATGCACCTGCATTGGAAGCACACTCGTCAGGGCCAAATTAGAGGTGACCGTTTTTAATGAGTTTAGTGTGGCTTCCCTGGACCCGATTTGCGTGGCCCACAGACACACAGCAGTTGCGGGGGACTACCCAAATGGGCTCAGAATGCACGGTGGGGGGGGGGCCCTCCTGTCTCTCCTCCCAAGCTGTTTTCCTGGATGAAAACCATACTGGGAGGGGGGGTTATTTCATCAATTTTGCTGCTCTACATGCTCAGACTACTCCGTATGCAGCAGTGTTCCCTCTAAGTTGAGTTAATGCGAGCTAGCTCACAGTTTTTAGCCTCCGGCTCACACACTTTTGTCTCAACTCAGGAAGGAGGGCTCCAGAACAAACTAATTTTTTCAGCAGCCAAATCGCTCGCTCACCACTGTAATGCCAGTAGCTCACAAAGTAGAATTTTTGCCCGCCAGACTCCACAGCTTAGAAGGGAGCGTTGGTATGCAGTAGCAAAATCAGCAAAATAACTCCCCCCCGGATGATTTTCCTGCAAGAAACTGGGGGGGAGGGAGCCCTTCTTCCTCCTGCGGTGCCATTGGAAGCCTGTTTGGGCTTTCCTCTTCTTTTAAAGACACTGTTCCCTACAGCTGCTGGGTGGCTACGGTGGCACACGAGTTGAGCCTGGGAAACCCAGACCTAACTCATCAAAACTGTAACACATAATTTGTCCCTCATGATCCCACAACATGGGAGGTCCCTAACTCTCCATTCACATGGGAGGTGCAGAGGAAAGATGGAGAAGTCATTCACCTTTCCCTCTGTTCCCACTTCGGTAGCCGTCCAAAACAGTTCAGAGAGACCAGCGTTAAGACAGTGTACGGTAATCTCAGTTATGGTAATACACAGCATTTTATGTATCTAATGAGGATGTTATTCTATTGGCTTTGTTTCGGATGGGTTGAAATGAGGATGCCCCCTTGATCTAAAGAACCACCTTACGTCTTACGTCATTTTCTGCACTGGTGGAACTGCAGCGCACCAAGACTGAATATCTGGTGTAGCGTTTCCCACAACAGGTCCTTTTGTACTCGCAATCCATTTATGTGGTTTTCATCCAGCGCTTGACGGGCAAGTGTAAGAGTTTGTGTTTTAGAGACCATGACATGTGTTTGCGTGATATTCGGTTTTGGTCTTTGGGGGGTGGGGGGGGGACATGACTGAAAGATTAAAGCAGAGGAAAAGGAGAAAGGAGAAACATGAGTGAGAAGAGCAGAGAAAAGAAAGAAGGGACAAGAGGAAGCGGAGAATGTGCAGGAAAAATATCACAGTTTTCTGTTGAACAAAGTCACAGTTTTGTCTCCTAACATCCCCTCCCGCCCAGAAGTTCAAACAGTTGTATGGTTCTTTCCCCCCCTCTCCTCGCTCCCGGAGCACGACCAATGGCACTTTTCCTCTGCTGTCATTCTGTTCGGGGGACACAGAGTCCTGGATCTTCACGACTGGTTCGTCTGCAGTGGCCCTCTCTTATTCAGAGAGTAGCAGCCCCGCAGTTGCAGTAGCCAAATGCCACTGGCCACAGGAACCCACCCCATCAGTGTGCCACAGGGTGGCAGGAAAGCCCTTTTTTCTGGATATAAAAGGTCTGTCGTGGAGAAACAGGAGGGAACAGCTCCCTTCTACCTCCTGCTGTAAGTTGGCTGGTGGAAGGGACACGGGGCATGTTGTCACAGGGAGCTACTCTGGCGGCACTTGGGATAGCAGTAGCACGGTGTTGCCCCTCTCTGAAAGATCCTCTCCACTCCCCCTTCTGTTCAGCTCTATGGGATTAGTTATGATTCCAGTTGCCACGGTAGGATTAACGGGTAACTCTTTTGGTTTAAAAAATTCCCCTTTTCTGTGGCAGGGAGGTGTGGCACTATCCCGTATCTTCCTGGTGGCCTCTGTGGCTTGCCCTTTGCCTTGGTGGGTTCATTTGTGGCACTGTTCTGCTTCCCCCTCTCCGTGGTCATCTTCGCGGTACTACCTCTGTACCCTGGTTCGGGCAACAGCACCATCTCCTCCATCTCAGTCCCCACTCTGTGGGCTGAGCTACAGTGCAGTCTTTTCTCTGCTGTCCCATCTGAAGCCTCTCTCCCCACCCCCCACCCCAGTCCCACCCCACCTGTTGCTGGTCATACCTCCGACTCCAGGCTGGAGAAATGGGCAGACCCACGCCGAGCAAAAAGCTCCCCGCTTCGGCTCACCCGGCGCGGCAGCCAGTCGGGGGAAAAGCCCCCCGGGTGCCGATGGGAGGCCCCACAGCGCATCATGTGGCAGGAGCTGAGGTCCTCCAGGCTGCGGGAGGTGGGATGAAGGACTCCGCCAGTCGGCCCCAGGTCACAGGAATGGTGATGGTAGCGTCGGTGGAAGCCGTGGCGGTGCCGAGGAGCCAGGCAACCGTAGACGCTACAGTGGCGGTGCTCCCAGTCCAGCCGGCGCTCCAGACGCTCCTCGGGATAGCGCAAGGCCTCCTTGCGGCACGGTGGAGTGGGTGGTGGGAGCATTTCCAAGCTCAGGCAATGCTGGCAGGGGCCGTGGCATCCGTGGCATTTTGCCAACTTATCAGCTGACCAGTAGTGCAGGGGCTTGTGTGTGGCAAACAGCTGCCTCTCCCGGGATGGGTAGGTGCAGAAATAATCCGGCGACTGATACCAGCAGCTGTGGCCGTCGCTGTCCCTCTCACAGATGTCGGAATCCGAGTCGGAAAAGTCCACGTAATGACTTTGGCTGCGCAAGCTGGCACCTACGGCGAGTGGATGGGAATGGCTACGGCAAATGTGAGCTCGGGAGCCCCTTTCGCGGCTTGCTGAGGCTGGGCATTTGGCTTCTGGCTCAGCTCGTGGCAGAGACGTCTCTTCGGCATGCCGGTAACGGGGGACGGGTGGGGAGCGTTCGTCTTCGTAGGACAGCCTCGTGTAGCCGTACCGGCCCCGCTCCTTGCTGAAAGGCCGGCTGCTGCCCCGTTCCAGTTCGCAAGGGCTCTTGGCTGTGTAACTGCTCGGTGGCCCGTCGTACTTCTTCACCTCCGGGGCCCGGCCGGCCGCTTTCCCAGCTTGGAAACTTTCGTACAATCCACGAAGCGATTTGCGTTGCCAACCGGATGCTACTGGGGGCATGTCGGGAGTATCTTTCTCACGTACAATGGCAAAATAAGAGGGTGGGTTTTCGAGTCCCCGGGTGGGTGGTGGCGGTGAGAGCTGACAGGGTGCCATCTTTTTGGTACCGACGTGGTCAGAGAGCCCTTCGGGTTCAATGGGACCATAGAAGCGGTGGAAGCCATCGGAGAAAGGGCTCTTGAGGCTGTGGCGTGGAGGTTTGGTTGTGGGGAGCTCTGCAGGTGTCGGAGGGTACAGGTCCTTGTAACAATTAGGGCTGCGGGCGTGGCGCCACCGTTCCACAATTCGGCGTTCTCGAGGCAGGAAGCTGGAACAGGGAAGTGGTGGCCCAGGGGGACTGGGCAATGCTGGCGCTCCACCTCGTGATGGCCCATAGTTGTGGTTCAAGATGGGCAGCTGCTGCTGGTCTTGGATTTTGGGGTCTTCACTACTACAACAGCTGTACATGCCCTAGAATGAATGAAAGAAAGAGGGATTAAGAAGGGGGCTCTGGGAACTGTAGCCCAAGAAGAGGAGTGGTTGGTGTGAGACACATGAAGCTGCTCAGTACTGAATCAGACTGTCGGTCCATCAGAGTCAGCACTCAAGACTGACAGCAGCTCTCCCAAGTGCTCACGTTAGAGGTCTTTCAGATCATCTACTGCCAGATCCTTTAAATGGAGGTGCTGGGGATTGAACCCGGGACCTTCTGCATGCCAAGTGGATGCTGTCCCACTGAGCCACGGCCCCTTCTAGGAAGTGTCACGAGGCAGTTACGAACGGTAGTGCTACAAGGCTGGCACACTTGGGGGAAGAGATCTGTGCAGGTGGGAGGAGAAGTCATCCGAATTGCATGCTGCTTGCAAAGCGCCTTTTGTCGATGTTTCTGTTATCTCCATGCAAAGGCGTTGCAGGTATGATGTCCCCCTCTCCAGGTTCTTGGTATGGCATCCTCAAGCACTCTTGCAAGGGTTTATGGAATTGTGCTTGTGTGCTAAAATGACACAACCTCGACACTTCAGTAGGGAAGCCTGCCTGTGTGCCGCTTCCTCCCCACACTCTTGTCTTCCACTCCCCGTACTTTACCCCTCTGCCCAGTTTCTATACATACACACCATTCACCTGGAACACTCTGGCCGCGACATGCCTTCTCTCCCCGGAGCAGATCACTAAGCCTGAAGCAGTCGTGGGTAATGTTCCCTCTAAGATGTGAAGTCTTATGAGCAAAAATCCTACTTTGTGAGCTACTGGCATTAAAGTTGTGAGCGAGCGATTCCGCTACTGCATGAATTCGTTTGCCCTGGAGCCCTCCTTCCTGAGCGAAGACAAAAATGTGTGAGCCGGAGGCTAAAAAACTGTGAGCTAGCTCACACTGACTCAGCTTAGAGGGAACACTGGCTCGTGGGTTCTTCACTGCAGTGGGTCCATGCCCACGCTATGGGAACCGAGTCTTCAGTATTTACACCCAAGTTTGAGAAATACCATCCTAAAGAACTCTTGTATAATATGCTGGTTGGATGCTTTGGGGCTCCACAAGCCCACAACTCCCCCCCCCCGCCCCCCGCAATACCTGCCTCGCCCTAGACTTTTAAGCCGCATCAGTTCCCACCGTACACGACCTTCTGCTACTGACACAGTGTTCTTCCCTCCCACCCAGTGCCGTTGAACTTGTCCTTCATTGTAGGTCACTGATTCTAGAGAAGGATCGCCCTGGCAGTGCGTGGAGAGGAGGAGAAAGGAGGGGACACTGAAAGCAGGAAGCCAGGAGAAATACAAATGGACAGATTGACATCGCAAAGGGCAAGAAAGAATGCAAAGGAGACAGAAGAAACGGGCAGGGGAATCAGAGGGCGGTGTGGGATCTTTGCCGCCCAACTGAGTCTTGTGTTTTAAAATCTTCACTCTTCGGCGCAAGGCGGCAGGCGGTTTTTAATCTTCATGGGACGTGATCGACATATGCAAATGAGAACTATACGGAACACAATATACGCCACAGCTCATGAGAATCTGCCTGAAACGCCAGGGGGATAGCCCATTAACACTGCTCAACTACACCACAGATTTAATCTGTCTCAGATCTGCTTTAACTGCCCTGATTCCCCCCGTGCCCCACCCCGTTCTCCAGGAACTGCAGTCATATAGCAAAAGGAGTACTCTGCTAGGGATGCCGAGCCCCATCGCAGAACCCTTAGCTCCCAGGTTTCCTTGTTTGGGAGCCAAAAGCATTGTGTAAAAGGCTTGTGACTTGTTGAAATCCACAGTGGAGAGCTCACATTCCCTCCTCAAGAAGGCCCCACAGCTCTTCCCATAGCTCAGCACTTCTGGGTGTTGGGGACTCAGCTTTCAAGTCAAAGACTGGGGCAGCATATGGACGCTCATTAAATAGGGTTTACTGCAAGTTTTTTCCCCGTAGAGAGAGTCCAGCCGTATGTGGCTGTGTTAATCAGTAAACTGAATGCTGATTCAATCTGGTACTTGCTTCCCTCATTTTTTCCAAGCAAGTTGTCTGCCCCCCCCCCCTTAAAGCAAAGGGTGCACATTCATTCAATTGAACAATTGTTCATCACTCCCTCCCCCCAAAGGACTTATATATTCTTTTCAAAGTTAAAATCACTCCTGGTCCTGGGAGGTTGGTTTGTGACAGTTCGGGTACTAGCCAATCAGTACTGTGCAGAGCAGTCTTATCCTGCAAACTGACAGAGCCACTTTCCCCAAATTCAGTCTTGAAGAGAAACCTGTTCATGTGAACAGCGTGCAGTGAACAGGATTCAACAACAACTCCACTGCACAACTGATGTATGCCTGTATGTACCTATGGGTTAACATGGTAGGGACAGGGAAGGATGGATACACTGTAGGCAGAGGTGGATACATTGTATACTACGGATGAAGAAAATTTTAAATTTTGTTCCAAGGTGTCTAACACAATCCATGAAAATTAATCAAATGTGTATCTATTAGCCAGTTTTTCAAAATTTAGGTACAGGGAACGACAAAGAGCTCTGCTGAGGTTGCTTATGGTTGTGATAAAAACAAGTAGCTTTGTGGGTGAGTATATAGGCGGATGCAGAGCCAGGCTCCATTTGCCTGGCAGCCTTACCCTGCTGAAGGCAAGAAGGAAGTCCAGCCGGCCCGTGTGCCTCATACAGTGTCGCAGCTTCCAGTAAATGAGGTGTTCCCAGGCAAAGACCAGCAGGCTCAGCCCCATGGCCACAAGGAGCATGTAGAAGACCCCAGCCATGTTGTCGATGTCTAGCTTGCTGCTCATCACCTCGATTTTGTCGTTGTGGCAGATTCCGGACAGCCACAGGCGCTCCAGCAACTCAATCTCATCTGAAAGAGAGGAGGGGGTGGGGATGGGGGCGAGGAGGAAAGGGAACCTAGGAGACGTGCCTCTCTTCAGCCCCTCTCCCTTTGGGCATTTCTTCCCTTCTCCCAGTGAATTTATTTATTTATTAATTATTCGTATTTATACCCCGCCCTCCCAGCAAACCGTCTCAGGGCAGGTGCCCTCTTCCTAAGAGCTCAGGAGTGACAGGAGCTCAGGAGGTACAGGAGTCTGAGGTCTCAAGGGCCACAGAGATTACGGTCACCTAGCAACAGGACAGAACCTGGACGTGGGAGTTGGGAAGGGGAGGGAAGATGGCCAGCTCTTTCCCAGTTTGGCTCATAGGATATGTACTGAAAAGGCAGAATAGTCACCCCATCACTATCTGTGCACACCTAGGGATCCTAGTGTCGTTTAGGAGCCAGAATTGGTAGTTTTCCCAATCTTAATTAAAGCATAATATTAACATCTTGTGTTTGTAGTATAAAAAGTAGCCCAGGTATAATCATTTGACAGATGGGTGAGTTGCTAGGCAATTATTTCTCACCCCCTCCTCAAATAAGCTGCTGGCAGCTTGCAACACTGTGCAGGTGTACTTTCTCATACCCAAACCAGAGGTTCTCTAAAGTGCATACCAAGCACAGAGGGTGTGTGTGTATAACATACTCCATCACTCCTCAATATGTATGTATCTAACACAGCTATACATTAATGTGCTAAACAGTGGACGGAGTAATATGTATTATATACATTCACAGTAGAAGCATAATTTCTACCTTCCTGTGAGCTATACTCTGGAGTAAGGTTTCAACATGGATTGTATCTACAGATGTGTGTTGACTGTGCATGCTTTATTTTTATGCACAAATTTTAATAATCAAGGATTACAGACTATGCAAAAGCCAACACACTTTCTAGTACGAGTTATGGTCAGTATCTGAAATCTGGTCACATGTGGATGTTGAAAATCCAAGCTGAATTATGAGACTCTCCCCAACTCAGTGAACGCAGGCAGTCTCCATGACTGGGAATGCCTGGGAAATGGGGCAACGGATTTATGTTTTGGGCATTCATAAAGTTCAACTGGAGTTTATATGCAAATGTTGACATTTTCCTACATTTTGGACCCTCGCTGCACCACTCCCATAATCTATGAAGTACCCTTGTCTCTCCCACACACAGTCTTTACACATCATGATCTGAATGAGTTTTTTACAGATGGCATGAAGAACGCCTTGGAGTCTGGAAGGCTTCAGTTCTGAATGTTGTTAATACAGTACAGAACACTGGACATGGCCCTTTTTAAGCAGAATGAACGCTTCCTTCAGTGCACATTTTCATTCAGCTTACAGATGTGGGGGAAAACAAAGCGGTTTTTTAAGTGTCCTGGACATGGGCTGGCCCGTCCCGCCAATCCACTGGCATGCCCTGGGGCGGGAAGGAAAGCCCCGTGTCCCGTTTCCCCCTGGGCATCCCCAGTCCGCCAGGACTATAAAGAGAAGCGAGTCTGTTGGCTAACAGCAATTAGAGCCTCAGACTGAGCCCATTAGCAGCAGCAGAGACAGAATCCAGGTTCCTCTGCTCAGATCAAACACACCAGAAACCGTGTCTGTTCATTATCCCCGAAGCTAGAAATAGAAGGCTGGATGTCTGTCTCCTATTCCCTTCGCGCTGCGTCTAGCCCCACTGGAGCTCGCTTCTCTCCCAGGAGGTACAGGAGTCTTTGCTCCCAATCATCCCAGGCTAGAGTGCATGAGCACTTCTCCTCTGGATTGATTAATCCAGAATAGAATACCATGTTTTGGTCACATACATGCATAAATGTGCCGATGGTTGCTGTGGGTTTTGGTGCTCGTCTTCAAGCATTAGTGATGGGGCGCACGGGGGAGGGGGAGAAGTCGTTCTTCTGGGGCTCTGGAGAAAGCCTGTTACTGTGGCATCCCTTTACACATGAACATGCAACGCTAGGGAGAGGAAAATCACATTTTTGTTATGAGTTTGACTGTCTTGATTAGCACAAACTTGCCTGTTGCTGTGTGATTTTGCCTGACAGATCTGATGAGTGATTAGGGACTTGACAGAATGGTTTTAATAATCCTTAATGGCAATGAGTCTCTTTCCAGCCCTGGAAATGTGACATCCACAAGAGTCTGGGGAAGAACAGAGATGGCAAGAAGGTACTTTGCCGTTCTGAACCGAGATGTGGGGAAGGGAGTTGGCTGAAGGTGAAACATCTCAAGGTGCAGGGGCTCTCTCTGAGAACCTGTAGCAGGTTTAACAGCTTTTCTGCCTGCTGCAGGAGTGCCTCTTGCTTCCTCTATGCTCTCTGTGTGTATACTTAAGCAATGTTCCCTCTAAGCTGTGGAGTCTTGTGAGCAAAAATTCCACTTTGTGAGCGACTGGCATCAAAGTTGTGAGCGAGCGACTTGGCTACTGCATAACTTAGGTTACTCTGGAGCCCTCCTTCATGAGCGAAGACAAAAATGTGTGAGCCGGAGGCTAAAAAACTGTGAGCTAGCTCACACTAACTCAGCTTAGAGGGAACACCGCTTATAAGTTAAACTGATATTACAAAGATGCACTATATCTCTAACGTGCTTGCATCCTAAGGAAACTGAATCACATAGCGCTAACTCTGGACTACTCACTGCTTGGAAGTGGGGAGCACACAATGCTATATAATCCTATATTTCAGCTAACTCAATTTTAAACACAAACAGGCTGTTAAAGAGTGTTAAAAGGAAACTAATCCTTGCTGAGTAAAATTCAAAATCTTGTCACCTGGTGGATCATAACCCACTTTCAGCTAACAGAAAGGAACATTTCATGTTTCCAGGCTCCGTTTTAATAGAGGGAGGTTCCCGTTAACCAATCCAAACAGTCGATGGAAAGGATTTGGCCTGGTCACTAGGGCGGGGGGGTCTGAGGAGGTAAAAAGATGAATGGGAGAGTGTCTGAATGGCCGAGGCCCAGGTGCTCGACGCACCTTATTTGGAACCGTTGCTTATAGAGTTGCCAACCTTCAGGTGGGGCCTGGAGATCTAGGAATTACAACTGATCTCCAGACAACAGGGATAGCTTTGGGCTGTGGACTCTATGACATCATATCCTCCAATCCTCCGCATGCTCTATCCCCAGATCTCCAGGAATTCCCCAACCCAGAGCCGGCAACCCAATTTCTATGGAGCACACACCAATTTTACTTTTTATTTATTTGTTTATTTTCTTCAATTTATATCCTGCCCTCCCTGCCAGGCAGGCTCAATACCAAAAGTAACAAACATCCCTAATCTGAGACACCACTGCTCCAAAGCGCCCTCTTCCCCCCCCCCTTTCAGCTCTGATCTATTGTGAGGAGAGAGGCACGTCTGCTAAAGAAACCAGTACCAGGCACTTTGGATGTTGCTCCCCACACCCAATGTCTTATGCACGGGACCCAGGAATCCTGGCTTCCAGCTCGCCTTCCCACTACTCCCCCCCAGAACCGGGCATGTGGATAGGCTTTACCGTCACTCAGAAACTGGAGGAGGGCCAGGTCAATGGGCCGTTTCCACTTGGATCCCTTCTGCAGCGCAATGCCGTAGCCAGTGGTGGCAAAGACCTTCCCACTTCCTATGGTGACCAGTTTACAGCCCTCTTCCTTGCGGGCCATGTAGTTTAGGACGGCTGCATCGTAAATGAAGGCATCCAGCTTCCTGCAGTCAGTCAGACAGACAGACAAGACAGGCAGAGGCAGATAAATGGAAATTAAGGTGCAAGTAGGCAGCTGATTAAAGATTGCTTCATATTTGATTTATTGGGCTTCTAGTGGATTTAGACCTAACTACTTATTCATAATGCAAAGCTAGCGAAGGAAGCTTTTTGAGAATTGTGATGGAGGGGGGCAGTTTCCTTTAACTGAGAGACAGCTGATGGTTGAACAAGCAAATGCTACCACTTGTTGTTTGAAGGACAGGCCATGTTTCATGGGTTTTATATATCACAATAGGATGATGGAACCAAAAATAACTTTAAAATAAACAGGTTCAAGACTAAACTTCCCAATTGTTTGGGTCTGGTGAGGAATTCCCCACCCCCATTTTCCCACCCTTGAGAAACTGAGGAGCTGGAGAAAAACGGCCCCTAAAATGACACTCTAGGAATTTCCACCAATCTCTATGGTCTTTACCACAGAGATTAAGGAAAATTCCTACAGTGTCACCCAGAAGTGACATCGCATTCTCCCCAGGTATTGCCCCCCAGATCTCCTGGCATTTGCCTAGGTAGTGTTGGGAATTCTATTCAAGACCCAGCAGTACTGTGGAAAAGTCAGGTTTTTAAAAAATGTATGGACAATGATTTCAACAGACTACTGTCAGCATTGGTTGCATATTGTTGTTAGATAGAAAGTCATAGGTCTTATGACAGGCAAAATGATGGCTAGTTTGGTTAACCAACTGGAAAGAAAAACCATCTTTACGTTTCTTCTTTGTCATCAAACTGTCATGGGAGGGGGGCCTGGCCCAGTTGTGCAGTCTGTACCGCAGTGAGTCCTTCAAGAGTGCCAGGCCTCTGCTTGTCCTCACATTTGCCAGTTAAGCAGACCACAGGGATTTTAATATGCAGTAGATTTATCTCTGCCAGTTAAAACAATTAGTTTCTAGCCATAGTGTACGTGGCATGGGAGATACACTGGAGAGGCCTATAAGGACAGAAAACCTCTCCTGCTTAGAAAGCCTCTCCTCCCAGCCATTCTTTTTCCATCTTTGCTGCAGCTTTCCCTTCCCCCTTTATTTCCCCCCCTAATTATATACACATTTGACCTATTCAACCAATCTCCATCTACAGCTGAGTTCTGTGAACTCCCCCCCCCCTTCTGATGTTTTCTTGTTCAGTCTATTTTACGGCCATACTAACTGGCCAATCCAGTACACGGTTAGACACACCTGTGTTAATTAGGTCTTTTTAAGCAGGAGGCCTCTGCTACAAGGGGTTCACCCTGTAGTTGTAATCACACTGATTACAATTAATTGCCTTGAGCCCACGCCAGTGGAGAAAGGGGGCCTAGAAATGTATTAAATAAAGAAATAAACTCTGCTCAGTGGTAGAGCACATGCATGGCATGCAGACAGCCCCAGGATTAATCCCTGACATCTCCCGTCAAAAGATGGCAGCTGTTGCAAAAAAACCCCTTCTCTGCTTGAGATGCTGGAAATCCGCTGCCAGGGTAGACAGTCCTGAGCTAGATGGACGGACCAGTGGTGGCGTGTTATTTAAACACAAGCCAGAACCTAAGTCCCCTCAAACAGTTAAAAGAGCAGCCCCTGCTGATAAGAGCAGGAAGGGAAGCACTTAAGACAGCCGAGGACATGCGAGGACAACAAGAGAAAGGACTCAAAGATCTAAGAAGGCTGCAGGTACAGACAGACCCTTTGAAACTCCGCCACACTTGGAACGGCCCCCAGAGCTGGGGCTGGGGCAGTTCACAGGAAAGCTAGGGCCCCAACATGGAAGCCAGGAGGGGAATCACAAAACAGCCAGATAATAATGTGGAGGGGGATACATCTGGTTCCCCATCTGTTTTACAGATTGCAAACTTCTGAATTTAAAATAACATCCACAAACGAGGACATCAGCAAACTAAAGCATGTCCCCGTGATGGCGAGGGCTCTGGAAACCCAGCCCTATCGGGCTGAAGAACGGGGTGTGTCTCGCCTGGAGAAGACTAAAGAGAGGCCTGATCACCACCTTCAGATATTGGAGGGCAAAGGAACAGACTCGTTTTGCTTGATCCGTGGGGTAGGGGCCAGGGCCAAACCTAACAGAAATTACAAGGAAGGAAATTTCAGCTAAATAGCTGAAGAAACTTTCTGACGGTAAGAACTATTCAGTGGTGGGACAGACTGCCTCAGGAGGTGGTGGATTCTCTGTCACTGCAGAGGTTGGATGGCTGTCTGTCGGAGATGCTGTAGTTGCACAGTCCTGCACTGAAAAGAGGGCAGCTAGATTGCCTCCAAGGTACCTTCCAGCTTGACAGGCGTTCCACATGAACGTGCAAACTGGTGCCCCGGCTGTAGAAGCAGCAGAAAACAGAGTGGAGACGGGTGGGAATGGGGGAGTCTTGTGAGCAAAAATTCTACTTGGTGAGCTACTGGCATCAAAGCTGTGAGTGAGTGATTTGGCTGCTGCATAAATTAGTTTGCTCTGGAGCCCCATCCTTCCTGAGCTAAGACAAAAACGTGTGAGCCGGAGGCTAAAAAAACTGTGAGCTAGCTCACACTAACTCAGCTTAGAAGGAACACTGGTCCCCATCCCCACTCGTCCCCCTCAGCACAGAAGCGCCTTGGAGAAAACAATCTCACAGTCTCACCTGGCACCCACCCACCCTTTCTCATTCACAGATGAGCCGTGGTTAAAGGGATACTGTGGCTCAGCTGTGGACAAAAAGAAAGCCCATTAAAGGGCTGAAGGAGGAGAACAGAGCTAAAGCTCCACTGACCAGAACTGCCCCATCATTTCCCCTTCAAGTTGGAGCAAGAGAGGTTTCGCCTTTGCTCCGCCTTAAAAGGGAAAGCCTTGGGAGACCCTTGAGTCATGCTCATGATGAGCACAACCATGTATAGAGGTTCCCCCCAAAAGACGGGCATCGCAGAGGGCAAAATCCCTGCGTGGAACCCACCCTATGACTTCCTTCTCAGAGGCCAGGACGTTTGGCCAGTGGTGGAGTCAGGGCAGGCAGAACCAAGGCAAATGCCTGGGCCAGAGTTTGTGGGAATCTGGTGAGTGAGGAATGGAACCTGGTTATGGTTTGAAGCAGGCTGGAATCAGGCCTATTATAGGAGGAGCTTGGTGGAACACACTGGCTTCTTAAGTCTGGGTCATCTGAAAGAACTCTGTGGAGCAGTCAAGTAACTGACCGTCGCATAATACTACCCACTTTAGGGCACAACCTCAAATTCCACCTAACCAGGATTTGTCCCCGCTTTGAACCACCCTGACTGCAGGTATAGGAGCATGGCTGAAAACTAGCTTTACTCGTACTGCCTTAATACGTGTTTCTGTATAGGGTAGGGATTTCAACCTTTATACATTATTATGAGTACAGAACCAGGGGGGTTGCTGTTATTCTGGGTTAATTAGCACAGTATATGGGGTAATCTTGCATCCATAGGATTAAACAGAAAGTCATATTTCATCACCCAGATAGTTTTTAAATTGGTGGCAGTCTTGGCAGCAGCAGCTCCAAAAGCATCGGGAATTCCCCCCCCCACCCCAAGGCTTCTCACACAGGCCAAGGCATAACGCACTCCCCTCTCAATTACAATTAAAGTCACAAATGCACACAAGTACACAGCCCACGAATTCACATGCAAAAGACCCAGATACAAGTCTAGTTAACAGCATGACTGTGCAGCTTAATCTCGCCTTTATGCCTCACTGTGGACTTCTTATGCGGATTGCTTGTGAAACGAGGCCGCCGGAGTCCCTGGGAGCACTGCTGTGGCGAACAGTGGGGGCACCCTCTTGCTGGCATACAGGGCCACCAAGGCTAGACAAAGCTGTGGCTCCCTGGGGCTGCACAGCAAAGGAGTGCAAAAATTGTTGTAACCTTACCAAATAGTGTGGGCATGGAAGCTTGAGGAGTTCTCATTAGTGACGTCTCAAGCAACATCCATTAGTATAAGCCAGTGTGGTATAGTGGTTAGAGCATTGGACTAAGAGCTGGTAGACCCAGGTTTGAATCCCTGCTGTGCCATGGAAGCACACTCAGCCTCACCTGCTTCACAGGATATAAAACGGAGGCCGGGGCGGGGGGGACACACCATGTAAGCTGCTCTGGGTTCCCATCAGGAATGACGGCTAGGCAGGTCTTGTTTTGTAGAAAAAGCCCAGCAGGAACTCATTAGCCTAATAGGCCACACCCAACAACAGAAACTCATTAGCATAGTAGGCCACACCCTGACAGCACAGCACATTAGCATATTAGGCCGCAGCCCCCTATTGCCAGAAGTGTGGTCGTCCAGCCACACCCACCTTTTGCTTCTTATTCTGTTTACCTTGTTTGTGGTCAAAACCCAGGGCTTTTTTTGTCGCAGGAACTCCTTTGCATGTTAGGCTACACGCCCCTAATATAGCCAATCCGAATGAGTTTCTGCTGTTGGGTGTGGCCTATTATGCTAATGAGTGTCTGCTGGGCGTGGTCAGCTTCGGAGCCAGCCGGAACTCCGTTCCTGTGCGTTCCTGCCCAAAAATAGCCCTGCGGCTGGGTATCAATGAAGTAAATTGATAAAATAGTCTGCGGCGCTCACACAGTCACATTCCACACAGCAGTGATTACAGCAACTAATGCACCCTCTTTGGGGGGCAACACTGACAACAGAAGAAGAAGAAGAAGAGTTGGTTTTTACACCTTGCCCTTCACTATCCGAAGGAGTCTCAGAGCAGCTTACAATTGCCTTGCCTTCCTCTCTCAACAGTGGTCACCTTGTGAGGCAGGTGAGGCTTCCCCCCCCCCCCAATTTTATTTTATTTTATCGAAGAAGAAAAAATTACAAGTATCAACTTATAAAAATACACAAATGAGGAGGAAACAATATAGCTCAAAATTCAACCAGGCTACATCTGTTACACTGTTATGATAATACACAGACATGTTGGTCCTAAATGACCACAGAAATGAACATTAGTCAATTGCCACAACAAAACTAAAATTAGCCCATAGTTCAAAGTCGGACAAATCATTATAATGCAATTTCCATTTCAAAAAAGGAGCCCATTTTTTGATAATATATGAATCCTTAACCTGTGAGTCCATACACTGAATATCAAGGTGGGGCTTGAGAGAGTTCTGAGAGAAACTGTGACTGGCCCAAGGTCACCCAGCTGGCTTCATGTGAAGGAGTGGGGAATCAAACCCGGTTCTCCAGATTAGAGTTCACCTCTCTTAACCATGACACCACACTGATTAGAGTCTGCCGCTCTTAACCACAACACCATGCTTCCACCAAGCACAGCCTTCTGGAAGGATGCATAGAGTATACACTATGAAGGAGAAACAATTGCACATTCAGTTTGGTGTAGTGGTTAGGAGCGCGGACTCTAATCTGGGAGAACTGGGTTTGATTCCCCACTCCTCCACATGCAGCTGCTGGTGTGACCCTGGGTCAGTCATAAGTTCTTTCAGAGCTGTTCTCTCAAGGGCAGTTCTCTCTGAGCTCTCTCAGCCCCACCAACCTCACAGGTGTCTGTTGTGGGGAGGGGAAGGGAAAGGGATTGTAAGATGCTCTGAGACTCCTTCGCGTAGTATAAACTCAAGCTCTCTGTCTCCCTTCATTGTGTCAAAAAACAGACTGTGTGGAAAGGCCCCTGGGGTGCATGGGTGCCCAACCGTAGACCATACGTGGATGAGAACAAACTTTTCAAGGGCTGCAGAGTAAAAGAAGAGCCTCCCTGCCATCGTATCCCACTCTGTCCCCCCCCACACAAAATTGCCCCACCTACCCCGTCTTCAGGTTATGGAGTGCATCCTCCACACTGCGCTGGTTGTACTTCCCCATGTATTCATGCATCTCCCCGTAGTTGTTCCGAATATTTTTCTCAGTACTCCCGTTGGGAACAGTGCCAAATCTCAGAGGCGGGTAGTGGTTCTGGGGTCTCTGGAACTGTTGAGGGAGGCAAGGTGAAATAAAGGTCATTAACCCATCTCTTCCCCTCCCCCTTTCCCATTTCAGGACGGGTGGAGAGAGGCTTTTAATTCTGGGGAGCTCGTTTTTTTAATCTAGTGCTCCGTAATGGCCAATTGGCTGAGCAATAAACTTGAAACTTGACTAGCAGAGATGATGACAGAGATAATTTCCCAAACATGATTTCTGGATAAATGGAAGCACCCTAAATGTGCGATGGAGAGATAGATGGAGAGATAGATGGTCTAGTGTTGGATGAACGGGTAAGAACCAAAGAGGTGCACATAGCGGTGACAGATGGATAACAAATCAAGATAGTGGGTATTTGGAGATCAAGAAGTGAGTTGAAAGATTGCTAAACGGGGGGGGGGGGGGGGGGGGGGCAGGATGGTTTTCTCCTCACTGCCCTTTGCTTAGCCAGGGTGAAATCGTGTATGTTGGGTTCGGGCTCTTTTTGTAGCAGGAACTCCTTTGCATATTAGGCGACACACCCCTAATGTAGCCAATCCTCCAAGAGCTTACAGTGGCCCCTGTAAGAAGAGCTCTGTAAGCTCTTGGAGGATTGGCTACATTAGGGGTGTGTCGCCTAACATGCAAAGGAGTTCCTGCTACAAAAAGAGCTCTTTTTTCTTGGGAAGATTCTGCAGTTGAGTTTTGCTCATACTCAGAGGGGGTAACTACTTATCACAAGGGTGGCTGAGCCTCTGTGCGGATTCAGCCGGTGTGGGAGAAGGGAATCGAGGGTGCAGAAGCAGCTGCAGGAAAGGTGCCTGTGGAATTCCCTGAGCTGGGGAAGGGGGTTTGCAGTACCCAAAAATGATGGGCAGGGGAAGATTACAATGCCCCTCCCCTCCATTCTCCACTCTAATTGCCCTCTACCAAAGATGCCCTTCATTTTCAAGTGGTTAAGACGCTGAACTGCAGGCTGTGGAAGGTCGGTAGTTCAGCAGTTCAAGACCCGAGTTGCCGCATGACGGAGTGAGCTCCCGTCTCTAGTTCCAGCTCCTGCCAACCTAGCAGTTCGAAAGCAAGAAACTGCAAGTAGATAAATAGGTACCACTTTGGTGGGAAGGTAACAGCGTTCCGTGCGCCTTGTTGTTTAGTCATGCCGGCCACATGACCACGGAAACGTCTTCGGACAGCGCTGGCTCTTCGGCTTTGAAACGGAGATGAGCACCGCAACCCTAGAGTCGGATTTGACTGGCTTTCGAGCAAGGGAACCTTTACCTTTTTACTGTGGGGCTGTTTGGTTACATACGCCTGTGTACAACATATAGTACCGGTGCACTGAATATACTGGTTTAGAATTTGAAAGGACTCCCCCACCCCATGCAGATGTCACTGGTGGGGTGGGCAGCTCTTGGGGGGGAAAGTCCTGCCTAATCAGGGATCTTCTGGTCCCCTCTTATTCAGACAGGCAAGCAGACAGGCTGTGCATGGAGATGGATCAGTGGGCTAAGGAGGGATGAATGGGTGGCCACAGGTACAAAAACTGAGCTTCCTCTTTAGAATCCAACTGAGAGGGGAATGTCCAGGCAAAGAAGGGATCTCTAGAAAGAGAAAGGCACATTCACAAACTGGGTGAGCCATCAAGTGCTAAGGAAAGAAGAGAGCCTGGGGGGTGGGGGGGATGAGACACCGTTGTCAGTGTGAATATCCTATGCAAAGTTACAGCAGCCTTAGTCCACAGGCTGGAGTAGCCCTGACCAGGATAGCCCAGGATAGCCCAATCTCATCAGATCTCGGAAGCTAAGCAGGGTTGGTCCTGGTTAGTATTTGGATGGGAGACCACCAAGGAAGTCCAGGGTGGCTACACAGAGGCAAGCAATGGCAAACCACCCCCGTTTCTCTCTGGCCTTGAAAGCCCTACGGGTTGCCACAAGTCAGCTGCGACTTAATGGCACTTTACTCCACCACACTGGAGTAATTTTGCATAGGTTTTAACTGGGGAACATGAAACACCGAACAAGGCCGCGTGAGATGAAACCCTTGTAGAGGCTGTTTGGTGTAGTGGTTAAGTGCGTGGACTCTAATCTGGGAGAGCCGGGTTTGATTCCCCCACTCCTCCACTTGCACCGGCTGATGTGACCTTGGGTCAGCCACAAGCTCTGGCACAGCTGTCCTTGAAAAAGAGCAGTTTGTGTCAGAGTTCTCTCAGCCCCACCCACCTCACAGGGTGTCTGTTGTGGGGAGGGGAAGGGAGAGGAGTTTGTAAGCCGCTCTGAGACACCTTTGGGTACTGAAGGGCGGGGTATGAATCCAATCTCTTCTCTTCTTCTTGTAGAGGCTGTTCACATGCATATGTACTTGACTTTTGGCGGTTTGCTTTCCTCCTACTAAACTTCCCATGTTTCCTGTATATTCACACACAGCCTCTTCGTAGAGTGGGATTTGTTTGATTTTGTGAGTGTTTTCACATGAGCATTTAAGGCATGCCTCAGCCCGGTTTGACCCATTCCAAAAGGTTCCATTAATGCCATCTCAGCAACAACTGCATGACCTTTTGTCTACATGTAACAAGCAGCTAACTAGAGGAGGAAGAAACATTGGTGAGTGCCTGATTAAAAAAAAAACATCCTTGCAACGGATGTATAGTGGGCTGCATTTGCTGGGCAGCAGCAAGCATATCCCCTTAAACAAACAAAAATCCTACCCCAAGTAAAATTCTCAGGGAAATTTAACCAACCCAGCATTTACAGCAGGGCACTGAATGTGACTGAGCAGGGGGAAATTACACCTCTTTAGAAATTACATCTCATCCCCACAGCCAAGCGGTGCCTATCTTGTGCAGTCCCGTTCCCGATGACAATAACAAGAGAAACTTGCATGCTGTCTAAGGGAAGAATTGCACTTCCCCAATTATTCCGCTCAGAGCACTTGAGAAACACAATACCTGCAGACCATAAATGCTCCTTTAAGAGGACACTTACAAGCTAGATGCACCTGTGCCGTTTTCATGCACAAGGAGCCTGACCAAGTGGAAAGACCCATGGAAGCAGACAGCTCTGGAGGTGGATTTGGAATGGCAATCAGATAGAGGGGATGAACGACACCTTACATTTCCCCAGGGTCCAAGCAACTGAACATATGTTGCAAAGTTCTTTGCTGGGAATTTAAACCTAAACACAAACAGGCATGATTTGGATCAGGACCACAGTACCCAGGGAATGTGAGTTTCAACTCCCCCCCCCCCCGTGCCATTTCCCCAACCTGAAACAGGTTGCTGTCTGTTCCCTGAGGGCACCACAGGCCCTGATGGTTTACACCTGGGTGTCTGCCAAAGGAGAAAATCTCACCCCCAGGGCTGCTTCGGGTTGTGAAAACGGTTTGGGGGGTGGCGTAAGCTCCCTTTCCTCGTGTGCCATGATCCTGAACAAAATCAAGCCCAGGTACGCTCAGGATTAAGTTCCCAGCACAGAACTTGCAGTACACATTTGATCACACAGAGCTGGGGAGAGGACGTGATGTGCAGTTAGGCCAGTTCATACAGAGAGATGCAGGAATACAGAGGCCACACTGATATTTCTGCAGATCGCTAGAGGAGAGGCGACGCGTAGCAGTTAATGTGGAAATATTTGTGGCACAACATGGATATAATACTAGAGAAAAGGTGACTGAAGAAAAGAGGAGATCTAGAAAGTTCTCTCTGTTCCCTAAACTTTCTTATAAAAGAAAAAAAGACAGAGCGATTTATCTGGGAGTTAGAAATATCAAGATGGAGACAGATCAGTAAATGGGGTGGGGGGGTGGAATGGACTCACGGATACACAGACACAATGAAAAGGTAATTCTGGGTATAGACAGATTCAGCAGTTGGCAGAAAAGATTGTTGACAAGACAGGTGCACAGAGAGATCAGCGATACTGAAATAGACAGGGACACATTTAGAAGTCTGAAGGGCAGAAACAGCCTGTTTGTTCTATTACAAGGGACCACTTCAAGAAGGCTGAGGACAGAGAGAAATGCCTTTGCCAAAAGTCTTTGCCGTGTCTTGGGCATTACAAAATCGGCTCAACAGAAGAGCTCTCCAGCTCATTCAGCCCCTCCTGGCTATACAAAATCGGCTCAACAGAAGAGCTCTCTGGCTCATTCATACACGGGGCACCTGGGCCCATAGATTTGGGGCAGTAGCAAGTGAAACAGCAACCAAAATGAAATGCAACCCAGAGTGCCAGCAACAGGAAGAAAAAGAGGAGATGGCTTTTCGGCAAGCAGAGATAATAGAAAGAGGCTGTTAGGCATCTCGAGGCTTAGAAACCATTAGACAGACAAAAGCGCCAGGGAGAAAAAAAAAAGAGAAAGAAAGGCAGGAGATTGGGGCAGATTATCCGAAATTCCACAGAAGAATGTGTATGACAAAGGAACAGGAATAAAGAGATAGAAAGGAGGCAAAGAGAGATAGATGAAAATAGGGGAGAACTATGAAGATGTCAGTCGAAGAGGGGGGTGGAGGAGAGAAAATTCTGTAACACTAAATTCAGCTGAGAGATTTGTGGCACTTCAGAGTTTAACAAATGTGTATTGTGGCATAAAATTACGTGGCCCAGAGCCTATTTCGTCAGAAAAACAAATGAAAGAGGGGGATGTTTTCACTTTATATGGCTAACTCAAGAACCGTAATAAAATGTTGTGGTCTACAGCCTATTTCGTCAGAAAAACAAATGAATGAGGGGGATGTTTTCACTTCATATGGCTAAATCAAGAACCTTAATGGCAACAGATTCCTGAGGGATAGTCGTGTCAGAAGGTTCTGGTCCATAAAAGCTCATCCCACAATAAATTCGGAGCAACAGCTGTGTTTGTTGCAGGAAGAAGAAGAGAAGAAGAGAAGAGATTGGATTTATACCCCGCCCTTCACTACCCAAAGGTGTCTCAGAGCGGCTTACAAACTCCTTTCCCTTCCCCTCCCCACAACAGACACCCTGTGAGGTGGGTGGGGCTGAGAGAACTCTGACACAAACTGCTCTTTCAGGAACAGCTGTGCCAGAGCTTGTGACTGACCCAAGGTCACATCAGCAGCTGCAAGTGGAGGAGTGGGGAATCAAACCCGGTTCTCCCAGATAAGAGTCCATGCACTTAACCATTACACCAAATTGACTCTGTGCCTAGTGACACCATAATCTAAGGGTCTTTAAGATGCCACATGACTTGTTCTGTCACAAGTTCTAGGGTTGCCAACTGTGGGCTGGGAAACTGCTGGAGACCTGAAGGAGGGCGGGATTTGGGGAGAGGAGGGGCTTCTGCCTGGGTATGATGCCATGCCGTCCACTTTCCAAAGCAGCCATTTTCTCCAGGGGAATGGATCTCCGTAATCTGAAGATCAACTGTAATGTCAGAAGATCTCCAGGCCCTGTCTGGAGGCTGGCAACCCTAATCACAACAAACAGGAAGTTGATGGCCGTTAAAGAGCGCGTGTGCTCTCTTTTCTCTCCCTGCTCTGTACTTTGCCTGAATTTCCTTTCTCTGCTCCCTCCTCCCAATTACTCCCTACTCAGTGAGAATTGGTTAATCTAAGCTGTTTAATATTTATCTACGATTGTGTTTCGTGTTGGACGTTAATTATGCCCATTAATTACATCCCAGCTCGTTAGTTCTTAACGAAAGAGATTCAATTGGAGCCGGGCCGCCTGCCACAGCTGGTCCAGTTTGTGTGGCCCCCTCCTTCCCCACAGCTGTGGCTGTTTGCCTTCGTCAGGGGCTAATTACCACGGGATAATCAGCCATCGGCTCCGTCCTGGTTTATAAATACCATGCGTGCTGGGCACCAGCAAGGCATCCCAACCCAGTGCAGCATGAGTGCATGGGACCACTTCTCCACCCATCCACCCCAAGTCCTGCTGACATGAGTTACGCCTACAGAGACTCACTTCCTTTTGCACAACTCCTGCATGCACAGAGAGAGGGCCTGTGCTTGAAATGACATGTTGGCCGTCTGGAGGTTACTTTGGTAGGGATGGCGCCATATTTACAAGGGTTGCTTAGCTGTGTGGCAGTCAGGGTATCATATCAGTCCTGACATTTGTTTTCAGTGCCTGGGTCAGTTCTAGGAAATACAAAGCGTGGCACAAAAGTGTGCTCAGGGGTCGTTTCGTAGAAAAAGAGCTAGGGGAACTCATTACCATAACTCATTAGCATATGCCACACCCCCTGACATCACCGGAAGTGTGTCATAAGGCCACACCCCCTGACATCACCGGAAGTGTGTCATAAGGCCACACACCCCGCCCCCAACGGTCCCGGCCGCCGCCGGCCTTGCAGCTCCACTGCTGAGCCCCATGAGGGGCCCGGCGGTGGACCTGCAAGGCCGGCGGGAGTGCAAGGAAGCCCCGCGAAGGCCCTCCCTGGCCCCAGGCAGGCAGGGGTGGGGAGAGGCAGGGAGGAAGCAACTTACCCTCCCTCTTCTCCTGCCTCCTCCTGGCTGAATGAGGGCCGGAAGTGGGGCGGCCGGAAGCAGGAGGCGGGGCTTCGTCATGTGCCCCGCCCCCCGTACCTCACCCGGGGGAACTGCGATCCCCCGCGATCCCCCCCGAAATGACCTCTGGGTGTGCTCCACCGGAGGACCACCTCCCAGGTTCTGCTGTTGGCTTTTCCAGGCAATGACCACTGCTCAGTGTTTGTTAAGGGGGAATGACCCAGCAGTGCACTGAAGACCTCAGGTTCAATCCACTGCAGCTCCCTGAGAATCACAGATTTTCCAATGCCAGCTCCTGCCCTTTTGGAGTAAGAAATGTAATATTTTATGTCTGATTACCTGCCTTCCTTTTGCTCTGGGCAGTATCACCTCCAGTGATGTTTCCCCTCACCAAAAGCAGTTCCCTCACCAGCTATTTAAAGAAAAGCCTTGCAAAACATGAGCTGCTTGATCAAGGCAGAGTTCTCTTGCAAGCCTGCAAGTTAAGTGAGGCCGCTGAGATTTCAGTCGGGCAAAAATATCAGGCAGCCGGGTTGGTCCATTGCAAACAAATCCGAAGATGGCAACAGGACAGTGTCTTTTATTAGGGCCAGTCAAGGTACCAACATTTGAACTCCTCAGAACTCAACAGCACTCTGGATATTGAACAAAGTAAACAACAACAGTAGGAGTGGGAATGAGATGATGAGCATGATGGAAAAGCCCTTCCGATGGCAGACTGCAGCAGTGTTCAGATGGAGCGCAAAAAGCTTTATGCGGGCTTAATTTAAGCCATTGTAAATTTAAAACAAATCTCAGGAAACTTGCAATAATATTGCTTAGAACAGAGATGCAGTGGCAACTAACTCTCCCTCCAAGAGGCAAAAAAGCCAGAAGTAAATTGGAATCTGACTTGCATTTCTCCCCTTCCGCCACCAAAAATTAATCTCCAGCCTGCCTAATGAAGACGGTTACGTTTTTCTTTACTTCTGCCGCCTACCTTCCAAGGACCCTGTCCTGGGCTCCATTTAGTGCTTGAGACAGATCCAAATTGGGACTGGCCTTTTCTTTTCAGAAGGAGAAGCAGCCGTTGCTACTCTGTCCCAGCAGCCTTTGGGGCAAACTGAGATCTTTGATGGTTGGCTTAACTGAATTAAGTCTGCATAACATCTCCTGTGCTTCATCTACAAGCAACAGTACTTTTCCATCATGTCCTACAGCATCTTTTTTTTTAACCCCTTCCCCCCCTTATTTTGCTTAACATCCAGCCTGAAACATAAAAGCTTCAGGGACATTTACAAGTTTGCTTACTACTTTGTGTGACATTTTGTTTGGTCCCAGTAAAAAAAAAAGTATGACATTACTGCAGAGCTGAGATCTAAGGCACTGCAAAGCAAGAGACCTTGGCTCCTCCGCCAGGAAATGTTCAGATTACATTTCATGGAACAGAATAACAGAGACTAAATTCTGCTCTTTAGCCTTTCAGTGCAGCAATAAGACATTCTCCTGTGAACGGGGTTGTTGTTTTCCCTTTTATCACACGCTTATCACACTATGAATGCACACACCTCTCATGGTTTTCCTTTCATTATTAGATAACCAGAAAGGTAGAAATGGAGCAGAATTTTGTATCAGAGGGAACAGCTGAAGTATCTGCTGTGTTTTTTTTAAAAAAAGTTATCGCATCTGGTGCTTGTGATTAATCTGTGTCTAGAACAAGACGGATCCCTTGAACTTAATTTCTCTTTTTGGTGGTGGAATGAAAGAAACATATGGAAGAAATGAAGGAAAGTGAAACAAAATTAGAGAGGCTGTGTTGAATAGATGAGAAATGTGTGTGACCGTGGAGCAATGTTCCCTCTAAGCTGTGGAGTGTTGTGGGCAAAAATTCTACTTTGTGAGCTCCTGGCATTAAAGTTCTGAGCGAGCGATTTGGCTGCTGCATGAATTAGTTTGCTCTGGAGCCCTCCTTCCTGAGCTGAGACAAAAATGTGTGAGCCGGAGGCTAAAAACCTGTGAGCTAGCTCACACTAACTCAGCTTAGAGGGAACACTGCCGTGGAGAGAGAGAGACAGGAAAGGAGGGAAGTGAGCAGATTAGATTGGCACCCCTTTTTCCTTACCTTCTGGTCACTGAGGCCAGACACCGTGTCTACGTATTCCTCCTGGATCATAAAGGCAGCCAAGTTGGCAGTGTAGCTAGCAAGGAAGATGACGGCAAAGAAGGCCCAGATCAGCACCATGATCTTGCTGGTTGTGCCTCTGGGGTTCTCCACAGGCACAGAGTTGTTGAACACCAAAGCCCAGAGCAGCCAGATCGACTTCCCAATGGTGAACTTGGAACCTCCGGTGCCTAAGAAGCAAGGAATGGGTTGGGGGTGTGTGTGTAAATCAAACAGCAAATCGCCTTGTGGGATCTCCAGCGTAAGAGTCTGCATTGCGGATTTGTTATTCCTCCCCCCCCTTCTCTCCCCTCCTGCCCAAACCAGCTTTGGGTACTCACGTTTACTGGCACTAAGGCTGCGATTGTAGCCTACTGGGCTGAAATATTCAAAGATGAAGACAGTCACCGCGACAACGGTCAGGCACATAACAAACATCATCACCCAGACGGCAGGGCTGTATGGTTCTGTGGAAAGAGACAAAAGGGACCACAGTAACGGAGAGCTGGGCTCTGCTTGGACCAATCCAGAGATTCTCAAACTAAAACTAAGATAAAACTTTAGCCTTACTAAACAAATAAAGGAAGCCTGCATCTGCATCGACACACCTAAACTGGTTTCACTGTCATGGCTTCTCCCAGGATGCTGTGGGAGCTGCAGTGGGGTGAAGATTCCTGGAAGGCCAGCAGAGCCCTAACAGACCTGCAGTCCCCTCGTTCTGCGGGAAGGAAGCCTGACAGCCTCTGATTCAGCCTGCAGTGGCACTGCGACCCGAGGGGACGCCAGCAATAAAAAACTGGATCTGGATCTACTGGCATCGCCTTCCCCAAGGTGCTCTCTGGTGTGAGGGTGCCATGAATCTTTAGAGCTTATCTAGGCAGGTGCAAGAAGAAGGAAAAAAGTTGAAGCCATTACTCTGCTGTAGAGGATTCAAGCAACTTTCTTCAATATTACACAGAGTTTACGGACAGGGAATCCAGAGGTTCTCCAGGACAGTGCTTGTGCTGCACAGAAATCACATTTTCCTGTCACTCAAAACTAAAGGATGTCCTTGCTGGGAAAATGTAATTTCTCCCTCTGCCTGAACTCATACTTCCGTTGTCATCTTAAATGCCACGGGCATGGAAGTTATAAGATTTTTATGACTAGTTTGATGTTTCTCTTTGGAGGCTCCATGGTGCCATATCAAGGGTGTATTCGTGTTTCCTCTTCATACAGACATTTAAAAGTGGCAAACATCATTAATGCTCTCCAGCCCCAGCCCCAGCAGCAATGCCTTAGTATTTCAGGATCCATTTCATTTTTTAGAAATTAATCCCCCCCCCATAGCTTTGTGATCTACGGCCGCAGCACAGGTTCAACAGCTCAGTCAATTGTGTAGGCCAGGGAAAACCAGGAAAATGGAATTAATAAATATTGTCAATGATATTGACATAAGCTGCAATACCAAACCAGGCACCCAGATGTGGCTCTGTCCTGGCTTGCTGGAGGACTGCACACAGCAAAACAAAGAAAGGAAGGGGGGAAAAATGCTTTTGGTCTGCTTTGAAGGTCCATGTGGATAAACCCTAGGGAGCGTGTATGTGCTCCCCAACACCCCATCAAGCTAAATGTCTGTCTACATGTAACAAGTGGGGTAGGGTTCTGGGTTTTTAAAGGTGTTATAGAAAGTGGAAGGAGGAGGAGAAGGAGAAGAAGAAGAGGAGGAGATTGGATTTATAACCCACAATTCACTTGGAGTCTCCAAGTGGCTTACAATCGCCTTCCCTTCCTCACCCCACAACAGACACCCTGTGAGATAGGTGGGGCTGAAAGAGCTCTGAGAGAACTGCTCTTGAGAGAACAGCTCTGAGAGAACTTTGACTGGCCCAAGGTCACCCAGCTGGCTCCATGTGGAGAAGTGGGGAATCAAACCCGGTTCTCCAGATTAGAGTGCACCGCTCTTAACCACTACACCAAACTAGGTGAGTAGGTGAGGGGAACTAAGTCCCACCCTGTCCTTCCCTTTACCTCACTATACTGTGCTCCTTGAACAAAGTCTGAGTCCAGGGGCACCTTTAAGACCAACAAAGTTTTATCCAAGGTATGAGCTTTCGTGAGCACGCAACACTTTCTCAGATTGTGCGTGCACACAAAATCTCATACCCAGGGGTCATTTCGTAGAAAAAGAGGTGGAGGAGCTCATTAGCATAACTCATTAGCATAACTTATTTGCATATGCCACACCCCCTGACATCACCAGAAGTGTGTCAGAAGGCAACACCCACCACTCAGGCTCCACTGGACTGTTTTGGATTGCTAGCTATTGGGGGGGGGACACATGCAGATCTGTCCTCACAGAGGAGGGAGAGCTTGTACCTGAATAAAACTTGGTCTTAAAGGTGCCACTGGACTGTTTTGGATTGCTAGCTATGGGAGACACACACACACACACGCAGATCTGCCCTCACAGAGGAGGGAGAGCTTGTACCTGAAAGTGGGCCGGGGGGGGGGGCTCTGCAACTTACCTGGCTGCTTCTTGCTCCTCGTGGCCCAACTGAGGGCTGCTGGGAGCAGGGGGCAGGGCTTGTTGCATGTGCCCACCCCCTGGGCTCCTTACTGCCGGAGCTCCACTCCTGTGCACTCCCGCAGGAAATGACCCCTGCTCATACCTTGAATAAAACTTTATTGGTCTTAAAGGTGCCACTGGACTCAAACGTTGTTCTCCCGCCTTGTGCTCCTTGAAGCATTTTTCCTGAGTCTTAGAGAAAAAACGCTTCTACCAGTGTTGTACCATGACATAAGGTGGGAAGGGGGAGAATTTAGCTCTTTTCCCATGCACGCTCCAGTTTCGGCTTTCAAGAAATGAACTCTTGCCTCCCGCTTTACACGTGAGCGAGCAGACATGGATGAATCCGTGTGGGTGCCTCTCAGTCCTGTCTCCTTTGGCCCCGGCAATTCCCAGGCTCCTCAGGAAATCCGTGGTGTGCAGAGACCCACTGGAAGCCCAAAGGCACTGTCTGCTCACGTGAAACAGATCGGCAAGAGGGTTAAATCCAAAGAGAGGGAAGCAGAGCCTCCTCAAGGCCACCATGCGGCTTTAAGGTACATGGGAGAGAGGCCCAAGGGAAATGGAAAAAAGCTTGCCCAAACAAAGACATCCCCTCGAGGCTGGCCCATGGAAGCCTTGCGCTGAGAATCTGCAGAAACAACGGGAGGTGCTTGATTGGCACTTTTGCCTCTTGGCCTCATTGAAAAGCACCTCCCAGTTCATGCCTTCCCTAGTAGCCAGGCCACAGCCTCTGCAGGAGATAGGCCACTACTTATTTTTAAATTTACTACTCCCCTCCCCTACACAGACGCTCAAGGCAGTAAACAAAAGTTCAACATGAAAACGGATAATCCAGACGCCGAAGCCTAATGCTAAGCGTTAAGATATGAAAAGGGCCTTATTAAAACACAGACCTTCAAAAGTCAAGCTAGAAGGTCAGTGCACAAAGTCCTGACTCAAGGGGAAGGCCATGTCCGGCTCCCTCAGAGCCTGCCAGCTGGCACATTCGCAGGCTCCCCTGTTGAGGGAGGCATTCCATTATCCAGGACAGCCTGATTACCCTTCACAGATTCAAACTCAACCAATAACAGGGACTCTTCAGAGGCCGGGGGGTGGGGGACACACACAACTCGTGTAGAATCAGCAGGAGAGGGGAGAGAAAGGGTTAAGGATGCCTGTCTCATCATGCACCCGGTTCTGAAACTAGGCTCCTCGCCCACCCCATGCCAACCCTCTCGCCCTACTCTTGCCTTTGCCCTAGTCTGGGGCTGGGAATTCACCTAGGAAGGCAGAAGGTGAAACAGTTCCATTGCTACGGGACACCATGACGCTGATTCCGGTCTCCACAAAGGGCACAGAGAAGTCTATCACTTCAGCTCTCTCCGCATTGATGGTCAAGGATCCAATTGCCATGTCAGCTCGCAAATAAAATACCTGGGGGGGGGGGGGGACGA